ACATTATATTTTGATTCCATTGTTTTACTAGTGAGCCTTAATAATTAGACCTGTTGACCTAGTAGTAAGTATTCACTTGTCAGCAATTCTTTTGTCCTACTAGAGCAATGCATTTATATATTTTTATAAAGGCTAGACTTTGCAAACAGTAGTGATTATCAAAGAGAGAAAGAGCTAGAAGAGGGAGTGACATGAGAGGGTAGTTCCAGTTAGAGTAGGAGAAAAAGAGCTCGAGGAGGGAGTGACGTGAGAGGGTAGTTCCAGTTACAGTAAGAGAGAATGAGTTCGAGGAGGGAGTGACATGAGAGGGTAGTTCCAGTTAGAGTAGGAGAGAAAGAGCTCGAGGAGGGAGTGACGTGAGAGGGTAGTTCCAGTTAGAGTAAGAGAGAAAGAGCTCGAGGAGGGAGTGACGTGAGAGGGTAGTTCCAGTTAGAGTAAGAGAGAAAGAGCTCGAGGAGGGAGTGACGTGAGAGGGTAGTTCCAGTTAGAGTAGGAGAGAAAGAGCTCGAGGAGCGAGTGACGTGAGAGGGTAGTTCCAGTTACAGTAAGAGAGAAAAAGCCCGATGAGGGAGTGACGTGAGAGGGTAGTTCCAGTTAGAGTAAGAGAGAAAGAGCTCGAGGAGGGAGTGACGTGAGAGGGTAGTTCCAGTTACAATAAGAGAGAAGAGTCAGAGAAGATGTTTTACCGAGTTAACGTATTGTTGAGCCTGAAGTTTTAGATGTACATTCATAAATAAGTGTTACTCTTTTTCTACAGAAGTGCATTTATTTTAAATACAGTATATATTGAACTGTTAAGTTTATAATTACTTACTAGAATTTATTCAGAATACATCAGGGTACACTATATCTATGTAAAAAAGGCTTCCCTATATCACGCTACCAGTTAAATTATCGTGTAATCTTGTAAAGTGTATCATTGGCATCTATCATCTGTGTATGGTTAAATATAACGACCTGAAACTGAGACACCCAACAGCACAATAACATCAAAAATACACTTATTCGTCGCACTCACATAATAGTATACGTCATGTTGTTCTCTGGCGTCTAATTTTACAAAATGATAAAATGCAAAAATAAGCAAATTCGCATTACTTAAATCGTAAAGATCTGTATTTATTTATCTTTTATCCTTCACCTTTTAATTTTTCAAAATTACTATAAGTTGATCGCAAAAAAAGTACGTTTGAAACAATTATTCACTTAATTTATTGTTTAGAAAATTGAACCCGAGCAATTTATTTTCTTGATAGATAAGTAATGTAGAAAATGAATACATATGGGGATTTAACTAATCATAAATACCAGGCTTCAAAATGTGTACGACAAACACGCGTGTAGTCTACCAAAGACTCATCAGTGACACTCGAATCAAAAAATTAAAAACACCAAATAAAAGTTTCTATTACGAAGTTTTAAAAAAGAAGTTGAAAAGCATCGAGGATCCAAAATTTGCTAAAATCTTAAATTCTGAAAGATCTGACGAGCTAAATGCAGATGGTAAAAGAATATTTTAGGAAATTTGCAACAGTAATTCATTTCTCTTATTATATTTATTATCTTCTTAAGTTAGAAAGAGGTGGATCATGTTCCAGCTTCCAACACGCCAACCAAGCTCCACGTCAGTGCGACAGCAACCGAACAATTAAAATGCAACTATGAACAACGCATTTAAATATGCATGTGCATATAGAAGGTGTACAAAGGCAAAGTTATAGAGCACATCATAAAATTGAGAATGGAAATGGGGAATATGTCAAAGAAACAACAACCCGACCAAAGAGCAGACAACAGCCGAAGACCACCAATGGGTCTTCAACGCAGCGAGAAAATCCCGCACCCGGAGGTGGTCCTCAGCTGGTCCCTAAATAAAATTATGTACTAGTTCAGTGAAAATGGACGTCACACTAAACTCCAAAACATATAAATGAACTAAAATTAAAAAACATACAAGATAACAAGGCCAGAGGCTCCTGACTTGGGACAGGCGCTAAAATGCGGCGGGGTTTAACATGTTTTGTGAGATCTCATCCCTCCCCCTATACCTCTAGCCAATGTAGAATAAAAAAAAACACCTAGCAATACGCACAGTAAAACTCGGTTCAAAAGAAGTCCGAGTCCGATGTCAGAATAGGTAACAAAAGAACTAAGCAAAATGACAATGATATATAAATTAACAAAGGACTACTAGCAGTTACTGACATGCCAGCTCCAGACCTCAATTAAACTGATTGAAAGATTATGTCTTCATCATATGAAAATCAAGTACAATCCCTCCCGTTAGGGGTTTAGTATCATACCATCATAAAATATATGAGAAGAACATAACCCGTATCATGCCAACAACTGGTTTTAGAATATTAGTAAATGTGTTTATTTCCGATGCAACGACCCTACGAGTGAATCAATATTAATACCAAAATATGCAATCCTTAATGACCTGACAACAGTATCGTAACTATATCCTTTCCGAATAAGTCTGTTCAAAGATTTGGTTAGCTTTTGAGGTGAATGCCGACATTTTTGTGCTTTGTAAAGAATATTACCATAACATATTGGATGTGAAATACCTGAACGTATAAGATGTCTGCATGTTGATTTATATTTACGAATGATGTCCTTGTACCGATGATAAAATTTAGTAAATGTTTTGACTAGTTTGTGATATCGAAAACCCTGGTGTAATAATTTTTCAGTAAAACAGAGATTTCTTTCGTTGAAATCAAATACGTTGTTACATATACAAGCGAATCGAACAAGTTGAGATATATAAACACCATAAGATGGTGACAAGGGAACGTCACTATCTAAAAATGGATAATTAATTATATAAATAACACATAGCTGAGAGGGTGATAGAGCAGATTGTTACCCCGAGAAAACATTGTCAATGCTTTTTCGAGGGATACCAATCTGCTCTATCACCCTCTCAGCTATGTGTTATCTAATTTACCTCTCAGCTATGTGTTATCTAATTTACCTCTCAGCTATGTGTTATCTAATTTACCTCTCAGCTATGTGTTATCTAATTTACCTCTCAGCTATGTGTTATCTAATTTACCTCTCAGCTATGTGTTATCTAATTTATTATAATGAATATATTCTATTATTATTTTTTTTTATAGATGAATTTTATTCAAAAGTATTTTCTATGACGTCACGTACATAACAACGTTACGGGTATTAGAAAAATCAACAGAAGTGAAGCAAGATGTTTTATTTTTTTTTTATTTTGACAGCCAAATAATAAAATCTGAGCCAAAACGTAGAACTTAAGCATTGTCTTTAATTACTTGATGTAAATTCAATTCATTGTTATTTAAATTATCGATTTTTGATTGGTCTGGACGAGAGGGTGACATTAAAAAAAATGTCTACCGTTCAGCCATGGGATAGAGTAAATTGTCTCCCTCGTATTAGCCAATCAAAATCTTGCATTTTAACGTGAAGTATAATAATGAAATGAAAAATCATCTCTTTTATCATAAATTTTGGTATTAAGCTTCCCGTGAAAGATATAGATATCAAGATCCAGAAAAGGGCAGTGTTCATTGTTAGTATTAGCTTTATTTAAAGTCAGTTCGGCAGGATAAATCTCTTCAGTGTACATACTGAAGTCGTCATTATTGAGAGCCAATATATCATCTTAATATCTAAAAGTGTTATTAAATTTTTGAATCAGATGTTGTTTCGATGGGTCTTTGCTGATTTTAGTCATAAATTGTAACTCAATACAGAAACAGGTCCGCAATAAGTGGTGCACAGTTAGTCCCCATGGGAATTCCGATAACCTGACGATATACGGAATCTCCAAAGCGAACAAAAATGTTATCTAGTAAAAATTCAAGGGCAGTTATAGTATCAAAGCAAGTCCAATTGACATAGTTCTTATGTTTGTTGTTACTAAAAAATGACCTAAAAGAGTTTGAACATATATATTCGCATTCCGACTTTTTAAACGCCCATTTAATCAGGTATGTGAATTTTTTCTTAATAAGATTATGAGGCAAAGTGGTATATAGGGTAGAAAAATCAAAACTTTGAACAGATTCGAAATCACCAATATAAGCATGCAATTTATAAAATACTTCCAACGAATTTTTGATACTTCAAAAGTAATTAATTCCACTATTTTCCAAGGCCTTATTTGAACAATTTATTACCAGGTTTTTGATTGTACCAAGTGTACTAGTAAGTAGAATAGATAGTTTAGTAGTGGAACAATGGCTTGAAGACGAAATAAAATTGAATCTATATTTGTAAGGAGTTTTGTGTAGCTTCGGAAGCCAGTACATAGTTGGAACTTTCATTGTATTTGGTTCTGCTTGTAAAGAGGTAGCTAAAATTTTATGTTTGTTACAGATGTCATTTTCCGAAAATGGAGTCAGTTGGAATGTTGGCGAATTCGTGATTTCCTTTTAAAGAACCTCAATGTAAAATTTACGTCAAACAATAATGATATTGTTAGCAGCCTTGTCAGCCGGGACAAAAACAATTTCCTTGGCGAGTTCTTTTAACTTATGTTTGATACGAGAAACTGGGCTATTATGGTTGTTGTTAGGAGTAAAATGATCTTTAAAATGTTGAATACGTATATCAATTATGTTCGTCAGAATTTATTCACCGTGAGCTCGTAAACTGAAGTTAACAGCCGAAAAAATTTCATTGATTTCAATGGTTTATTTATCTTCATGCTATTTAATGACTGAAGAAATTACACATGAAATAAACCCCAATGAAACAGTAACCCAATAATATATCTTTTAAACCAATAAAAACAGACAAGTCCAATGAATATTAATAGTAATATTTCCAGAAATAACAGTCGTTTTACTACCTAATACTAGTAAGCAAGTCTTTATGTAATAAGAAGTGGGTTTTTCCAGGTTAAATCGTGTAGTTGTTTATTTGTTTTTACACCAAGTTGTTGTTTATATGATATTTTATTTAAGTAGTGACATGTTAATTCATTTGTATCATTAGTGTGGTACGCCTTCTTTGTAGTACGGACATTGTTTACTCATGCGCATCGACGCAAATGGTAATTTCATCACTAGATTATGAATTAGTTTCGTAATGTAATAGGATAATTGGTTGTGCTACTATGTAAGTACAGTTTTCTTATTTATTATTACAAACTTTGTTTTATGTTTTCAACCGAATATGAAATCAAAGTAATAAAACATATAGCACTTGAAATTAATCGGATTTTTTTTTATTTAAATAAGTTAATCAACAGAGACATATCAATTACTTTACGACTGCCTCTCAGTCAACACACACCTAGATGACCGAAAAACATCGACGGAGCCCGTCTATCAAATTGTTGAACATTATTTTTATTCAGTGTATATTTATCAATCTTGTTAACTTTTCGTTATGGTGCACCATAGTAGGCTTTGCAACAAACTGTTTTAATGTCTTTCATTCACATTTAGACAAATTGAGAAACATCCGATTATGTGTGTACACGTTCTTGCACACGTTATTTTTATTTATTTCAAAAATATAAATAAAAAACGGGTACTGTATTGTACCTTTTTTTTTATTCGAGCGTCATTGATGAGTCTTTTGTAGACGAAACGCGCGTCGTGCGCAAATACAAAATTTTAATCCTGGTATCTATGCTCAGAGTACCTATGATGAGTTTATTTGCAGATAAAAGTTTGATTTTCTAAAGAACTTGTGTTCGACTAACCAAGCTTGTTTTGTGCAGGTGGTTGTAATTCATATAAGATCCTCTCGTTATTTATGTGAGTTTGTATCAGTGAAAAAGTGCCTCCTTCTTTGATTTTAATTGATCTCTGTTCGTTTACCACCTAAGGCCTCCTTGTTCTTCCAATAGTTGAAAGTAATGTTTGTATTGTCATTTCAGTCGCGTTATAAGTTAACACCTTTGTTATTCTGTTTATTACGGTTCACCGTTTCCATTCAGCAGGGTTGTCCATTTAACCCTGATGTTTACAACAGCATCCTGTGCAGATGTATGCTTAATTTTTTAACCGGAAATATCGATGGTTCATTTAGTCGAGCCAAGGAGTTGTATATTTATACAATTCATTGGTATCAGTTATTTTCGATGAAGTTAATATTTACATAATTTGTATTAATGATTCACGATATGACCGCTACGAAGAATAAACAGGTAATGCGTCATGTGACATTTTTAAGTTATTAGTGTCTTCTGATTAATGTTAATTAATAAGTGTTGTAGGATTAATAGACATACAGTTAACCACTGCGGTTATTATTTTGATATATAGATAAAAATAATTACGTAACAGTTGTAAGTTTTATTCCGCCTAAAATATATGAAAAACCAATTATTGTAAAAAAAAAAAGGTTTGTTAATGTTTTAATATATATCTTTAAACAATATCCCTTTTCACAATATTTTAGTTAAGAACTTTTATAGGTGAAGTACAGGTGTATATCAAGATGCCAGTCCTTATGAGGACCCTCTGATCCTTAATATTGTTTTAAAATCTAAATTAAAACTATTAAACGTTGTAGAAACGTGACTAAACCATTTCTACACTAGGGACGGTTAAGATGTGTAAATATACTTTTCGATAGACTGAATGACATGTGTCGTATTGAATGAGTTGCAGTAAGATAATATGTTTCTGTATAATTTTAGCTGATACACCGGCACACTGAAACGTTTTTTCCTTGTCGATTTAAAAACACTAAAAAAATTGTGTCTATGACAACGGAAGACATCATTCGAACGTGACCAAAATAGTTAACTTTATTGTTTTTTGCGACATAAATAACTCCTCGTTCTTTATCTATACAATTTTAAAATGTGAATTTTGAATTCAATTCATATGCTTGTGATTTTGCGGGTATCTTTGTATTTCAAAAACCTTTGAGGAGTTCGTACACGATGGCCTGTTGAAAGGGAAAATTTCTGTCCCTATCAAATATACATGTAATTACCATTGTTTTCAAGTTGCAGTTCAATCTTCCAACCCTTCATCCATGCAGTCGCAATTTGCAGAACTTACTTATTGTATTTATTGTTAATAGCTTCTCGTCCTGAATAAGATTGAAATAATTGCCACTGGACGTTAAGCATGCATCAATTAATCTATCACTATTGTATTTCAAACTGATAAGATAGATATATAAATTGCTTATGGTTAATGAAGTTAATGAACTTAACTCAGTACTATCGTCAAATTCGATTGAAAAATACAGTTAATTTCCATACAGGCGACAGTGGTAGCCTTTTTTCGAGATGCAAACTTTAGAAAGTTGATTTTTAGAACGAGATATTGCTAGAATTAATGTATAATTAGTAAGACAGTATTTTTTAGTCCAAAAATATAGGTTTCCGTTGCTTTTTTGAACGTAATTTGTACTTATCTCCGGGCTTGCCTATCAATTCTAATTCTGCATTTAAACATACATGTCTCGTTACAGCTTAGAAAAGACTTCTCAGGTCCTTTATTGCTAAGGAAAATTTATTATTTTACCTTTGGTATAATGCAGAATGCACAAAGTGTCTAATAATAAAAAATATCGGCTGTACAGAATACTCAACCAGGCTTATACATACTCTTTATTCTGAAAACCATATTTAACGTCACAAAATGGCTGCGCCCGTAACATCTAATGGTTTGTGGTATACTAACCTAAATGGAACGAGTATTGACGTAAAAGAAAGTCGGATGACGGGAAGAACATTTGGTGTTTTTTTTTTTTTTTTTTTTTTTTTTTTCTTAAATTATACCTCAGATAATCCAAACTAAATTACGAAACGTGAGGATATCGAAGTACACAGTGTGCGCTAGTAGTAATGACAAAGGGTCATTTTGTGCGTGCTAGCGTGTTATCTATAAAATCTGCGATTCAAAGCCTTTACGAAATGATCTGAAAAGCATTTTTACCAAACCGAATGTTAAACAAAACCTTTTTTGCCTATTTTACCGAGTTAAATCTCATGCAGTTGTACTTTTCTGGCTACACACTTATGTAACGGGACTTTATTCTTTGCATTTCGTATCTTGTCATTATTTCGGATCTATGTATCCGGGATCGATTAATCCATGTTTTGCCCGTTAGCATAGGGACCAGCTATAACATGTATAATGTAATGTTTCTCCATAAGCTCACAACTGTCTGTAACTAAGTCTATTTGATGTTCACATGTTTAATGTTTATAGATCTTCATATAGCAGTACTTGTATAATATATATATATAAAGGTTCACAATTATAATTTCCAGTTAATATCCGTGCATACAACTTGTTACTTCTAACTCATCTATAAAACTACTTGTTACTTCAAACTCATTTATAAACTAACTTGTTACTTGTACATTCAGAACAGTATAAGAAACCTTTGTTTTTAACTACACACAACACGCCCACTCTCTTAATGACAAGCGATTAAAACTAGCTTATCAAACATGTGTAATACACAAAATTAAACAAAATTAAATGCAAAAATTAATATACAATATAAAAACTAACCTAGGCATAAAAAGCTAAATGAATAAAAATTAAAATTTAAAAATTATTTACAAAAATGAAAATTAATGAATCAGTGGCGCTTTGAATAAGTTATTTCAATAAAGTGATTTTGTTATTCATTTCTTTAACATATTCCTGGCATTCCGGGGTCAAGTCCTTAAAATCGAGAAAACGTTATCATCTTTGCGGTTTTTTTTCAATATTGTCAACATGTTCATTTATGGGAACTTACTCGGGTTCCACTAGTTCGAAATTGTCAACAGGAATGTTATTTTCATTTAATTCCAACGGCTCCAATTGATTGGTTGGTGGTTTCGCGAGGTTCGCCAGTCCAAACGAAACCAGGTTTTATCCAGTCTAACATGTATTTGGGTTAACTTTACTTTACAACTTGTTACTTCTAACTCATTTATAAAACTACTTGCTACCTCAAACTCATTTATAAACTAACTTGTTACTTCAATCTCATCTATAATACAACCGACCAATATAAATTAAGTTTCTCACAAGATCGTACTATTAACATCTGTTCTTAATTTAGACTAAACATTGCTTTATGGTCTTGGAATATTTTGATAACTTATCAGTGTTATTGCAACTCTAATGTGCATCCCATGTACCGTATAAACTGTCACATTGATCAAGATGCAAGAGCATTAAACTAATTAAGTATTGACCATCAACTCTTTGATGTAATTGACCACGCCACACTAAACTGAGACGGGACCAGATATATTGTAATTCAATTTTAAGCACTTGTCATCAATATGATAATTAACACAGCAAACACTTATATCCTTTAAGACGGCAGTGACATAACTTTAACAAAGATAAACTTGCAAGTCAGGAGCCTGTAATTCAGTGGTTGTCGTTTGTTGGTGTGTAACATATTTGTTTTTCGTTCATTATTTTGTACATAGATTAGGCCGTTAGTTTTCTCGTTTAACTTTTTTTACATTTGTCATTTCGGGGCTTTTTTATATTTGACCATGCGGTATGGGCTTTGCTCATTGTTGAAGGCCGTACGGTGACTTATAGTTGTTAATTTCTGTGTCATTTGGTCTCTTGTAAAGAGTTTGACTCATTGGCAATCATACCACATCTTCTTATTTTTATATTAAGAATCTATAAGAGTTAAAAAATAAGGACTTCTTCTCCAGACCCGCTATATGAATATTAAAGATTTAAAATCACCTACAGATAACAGTTTATTCATACGTTCATTGAGATAACTTTAAAAAAAATATATTAATCTTCGTTGCGCCAATATATATTTAGATTTTTACCACTGTGATTATCACTAAATGGATTATTTAGTAATTTATCAAGTCTAAAATGTTTTGAATTATACACCTAATGGAAAACGAAGTATATATTGATTGATTGATTGATTGATTGATGTTTGACGCCACTTTCAGCACTATTGTGCTGTTTCGTTGATTGGTGGAGGAAGCGAAAATGCCCGGAGAGAACCACCGGCCGTCGGTAGAACAGCTGACAATTCTAGTCAATTAAGATTGGAGTCGAGCGCACCTGCCACGTGCGGGATTCGAACTCACAACCTCAGTGTTGACAGGCTAGTTATACAGTAGGTCGACTATTTTTTCTCTTAATATATTTATTAAC